GAGCTCCGGCAGGTGCCGCGGTGGCCGGCGAGCACCTGGCGGCAGCGGCGGCACATATGGCGGCGGCGGCGGGTCGCCTCGGCGGGCGGCGCGGAGTCGCGCGGGCTGGAGGCGCGGGGCTTGGGCCCGGTCGGCGCGGAGGAGGGCCGGCCGCGGGCTTCCGCGGGCCACGGCGGTGGCGCGATGCCGGGGTGCCATGTGGCGGGCGAGGAATGGCGGAGGGAAGCGGGGCGGACGTGTCCGGCCCGGCCGGACACGTCCGGCGGCTGGAGGAGGAAGGAGACTAGGGTTTCGTCCGCGAAAATGAACGGGGTGCACATATTTATAGGTAGAGGGAGCTAGGAGAGTCCAAATGAGGTGCGGTTTTCGGCCACGCGATCGTGATCGAACGACCGAGATGATGGAGGAGGTTTAAGTGGGTTTTGGGCCACTTTGGAAGGGTGTTGGGCTGCAACACACACGAGGCCTTTTCGGTCCCTCGGTTAACCGTTGGAGTATCAAACGAAGTCCAAATGGCACGAAACTTGACAGACGGTCTACTGGTAGTAAACCAAGACCGCTTCGCAAGTCTCGGTCCAATCAGGAAATGTTTAACCCCCACACATGAAAAGAAGGTAGAAATGACCACCGGAGGAGAACGAAGTGCCGGAATGCAAAACGGACAACGAGGAAAAAGCTTGAATGCATGAGACGAACACGTGTGCAAATGAAATGCACATGATGACATGATATGCAATGCATGACACACAAGCAATGACAAGTCAACCACAGCGAATAACTGAAGGACACGTGGCACATCGGTCTCGGGGCGTTACAAAAACCTCGTGACGGTGGACCGTCATAGAAAATGATCTTCGACGATGTTTCACGTTTCGTCACCATGTTTCAATTACTGAATAGAGCATATTTTGTAGTGCTTGTCTTCGGACTCAGCAAAAACATGAAAGGCATATCAAATTGGACAGAAAAGAGAAAGTTCACTTGGCTACAAGATAAACCTTCTACACAGTATAGATCGTCAAGTGCTACTTTTGGCGAAGGAAAAGAAGAATCGCTCCTGGGTTCATCTTCGAAAGCATTACACCAGAAAGCAGTTTCATGCCAAGGGCATCAAGAAAGATTATGACCATCTTGACATGTCTGAGGTTCCTCGCACACGAAGGACTACCCCAGTGCTGCCATAGAGATCCTCCTCAATTGATCTACTGTTTCTCACCCCCTATGATGTTGTCAGTGACACATAAGCTACTCCTGTTTACAAAGCTGAAACACATGACACTGAAGGAAAAACAACTCGCTCTGCTCCTGAAGCCAAAGCTGGAAGCTCTGCTGCAAAGTCTTCTGTTTCTGCTCCTGCTGGATCTGTTTCCCTAAACTGTTCTAGCTCTGCTTCTTCTTCGGACGAGTAGATCCTCGTGTCTTCTTGCTCCTTTTTGCCACTTGTTGAAAAAAGGAGGAGTTGTACATCGATAGGCTAGATGTGCGGGTCATTTGCCAGGGTTGGTTTCATAGCAATGACAATTAAGACTTTGATTGTTAACTACTACTCCCTCCTATCTATATAGGGACTAATGTGTTTTTAGGACCGCCTTTGACTATTGACAAGATTAATAGTACATGACACGCACAATGTGAAAATTATATCATTGAAAGCTCCTTTCACACACGAATTTAACGGTGTGCTTTGTGTAAGTTGCATGTCATATATTATTGCTTTAGTATTCGATCAAAGTTAGCCTCGAAAACCGCATTAGGCCCTATATAGATGGAAGGAGGGAGTATAAGAGCATGATTAATAGTATAGCCAGCTGCTGGCTATAAGCCAGTGCCATGTCATCTACAGCCCATCTTATAGTCAACACGTATAATAGTAGATCAAAAGAGTGTACTACTTTTTTATTATGTGGCCCACCTTTCATTCTTACAAAATGCCTAGGAGCACGTACTAGAGCTGGCTCTTCACGAAGAGCCCGTTTACCTTCTCTCTCCTTTTCTCTTTCCTCCAACTAAACAGAAATATACTAGTTTATTTTTTATAGCCCGCTAATTCATTTTTATTATACTTGCTCTAACAAGTGATGCAAAGGTGACGTGCCTGATCCGGTCCAGCTTGACCGGATGTAGGATGATCATCTTGCAATAAAAAGTACTCTATGAATAAAAAGTTTCGCCAAGGAACCATCCGTGCTACAACTGCTTCGATAATCACAATCCTCCTCGGAATTAACTAAGGCTGTCAATATTCTGGCTCCACGCGTCAGTGTCGCCAGCCGACCAATCTTACAAAGCCAAAACGAACACGCGAGAAGAAGGAAAACTGACACGAACTCTCTTTATCCCCTCTCGACTTATTTTATAAAACCAGGCCAGGAAAACCTCTCGCCTCACAAACAAGTCCCCCAACTCTCCAAGTCCAACCCCACGACCATGGCGACCAAGCAGAGCCTCCTCGCCGCCGCAGCCGTCTGTCTCCTCCTCCTCCTCCCCCTCCCGGCAGCCTACGCCGTCACCGATGTCGAGTACTGCAGTAAGTAGCAGCCCAGGAGTTCTGCCCCCGAAAATCTCGTCTTTTACAGCCACTTGGGGTTCCCGGAGGTGGAGATTTCGTGTGGATTTGCTAACTTCTGTTGCTGCTGCTGTGGTTTGCAGATAAGGGCAAAAACTACCCGGTGAAGGTGAGCGGCGTGGAGATCGTGCCTGATCCGGTCGAGCGCGGCGTGCCGGCCACCTTCAAGATCTCCGCTACAACAGGTAAACCTCTCTCTGGGCGTAATTTATGTATGCTTTTATTTCCTTGCGTGTTTGCCTACTTTGTTCTGCCATGTATCTGGTCCACTAGTTAGGGCTCTGGAAGAAATTACCAATCGGGAGTTAAGCTTTGTAGTATATCTGAACTTAAATGTTATGGGCTAACTTTGTGTGCGGTTATTGGGACATAGTTTCTTCTCTAAAATAAATAAATAAAATTATTTCGCTTGCTTTGTGTATATTTAAGATCGGGTTTTTCCTGCTTTGCTTTCTAGCCTTGTGGCTGTGAAGTTGTGATCGGTGAAGTCTCTAGCTATGAATAAATAAATAAAATTATTTAGCTTGCTTTGTGTTTATTTAAGATTGGGATTTTTCTGCTTTGCTTTCTTGCATTGTGGCTGTGAAATTGTGATGGGTGAAGTCTCTTGCTATGAGCTTTAGCAAATGGGTGCTTTGCTTTGTGTGACTTATATGATCCATTGCTGTTAAGAGGCTGTATTTCAGAAAATTACTACTCCCTCCGATCCATATTAATTGTCGCTGATTTAGTACAAAGTTTGGAGGGAATACTTCTTTGAAAATCTGTGAAGTTCTTCAGTCGGTGCCACCATTTGTAGTTTATGCGCGACAGCAGTCTGTAGAATTATAGCCCCTTAGCTGGCGATAATCTCTTAAAACTTCGTCTGAGAAACTATTTTCCCATGTACAGAACCAAAGAGTCCTTGACATGAATATTTTTCAAGGATGGAAGATTTCTTATAATGAGTAGTTGGCTCTAGATATATAACCCTTAGCTGGCGATAATCTCTTAAAACTTAGTCTGAGAAACTATTTTCCCATGTACAGAACCAAGAGTCCTTGGCATGAATATTTTTCAAGGATGGAAGATTTCTTATAATGATTAGTTGGCTCTAGATATATAACCCTTAGCTAGCGATAATCTCTTAAAACTTCGTCTGAGAAACTATTTGCCCATGTACAGAACCAAGAGTCCTTGGCATGAATATTTCTCAAGGATGGAAGATTTCTTAATATGAGTAGTTGGCTCTAGATATATAATTCATTGGAAAAGGCATGGCAGTTGGCTCTTGCCTATTAGTACTGCAGATAATATAACTATATGTACACATTATCTGTCTTTTATTCCGTTTTTACTACACATTGTATGGCTATATATTGATCCATTAAGTCTTTTATTCCCTTTTTACTGGTTCTCGCAGAAGTTATTGAGTCTCTGTACTTTGCTGAGTCCTGTAATGTGCTGGCCAGCATACAAAATGGTCATTTATCGCTGTACCAGAATAGTGCAAACTTAAGAGCAGCTTAATCTTACCTTTACTGCAAAAGGTAAATTGCAGCTTTGAGTAGTGTGCAGCAAGAACGTTGCTACTGGTTCTACTAGTCAATTGATTCTGGCAAGCATTGGCTAATAGTCTGTTTAATTGAGTTATGTTCGTGTTGCCTGCCTTAGCATTCACATGTGGAAAGTGACTGATTGAGTTCAGCATATGGCGACTGAGATCATCTAGTGATCATCCTTTTGCGACACCAAATCAGAATTCCATCTCATGCATTGTGAGGGTCTGTATGTGATGCAAGGAATATTTGGTCATGCCATTCAAACATTGAGAATCATGTTCTGATTCATGCCAACTTTCCCTACTTCAAATGGGATTCTTAACGTGTTTTGTAAGTGGCCAGTCGTATGTGCTTCTTACTCCATAGATCTCTAATTTGCCTGTTGGATGGAACCTTTAGGAACTCCCCAATCCTGATAATCATTGCCTTTACTTTGAACTGCAAAAACATCTTACATTTAGTTACAGAGGGTGTATATGTTTACCATATGAGCTATGAATGGTTCTCTACTCTCCAGTTAAAATCGTAAGGTTATGGTGCTTATCTTATCATGAGTCAAATTGACAGCACATGTTTTGTTTATTGTCCTTCCCCATGTAGAATTATTGTTTTTAATGTCTTTCCATGTCCTTGTGTGCAGATAAAAACATCACCGAGGGGAAGCTGGTTATTGATGTTAAATATTGGATCTTCAATGTTTACTCTGAAACGGATGACATCTGTACGAAGACCCAATGCCCGGCAACTTCTGATTTTGAGCTATCTCACTCGCAAACCTTACCATCAATCACTCCACCGGTAAGATTTCGTTCAGCACATTTACTTCTGTTTCTGAATTATGATGTGCATATTTTCTCATTACTGGGCATTTGAGCCCAGGGCATGACAGATGTTCATCGAATTGTTTGTATCAGTTGTCCTCCGATTTTTTTTGACCGACACGCGGTCATTTTGCTCTGTGGCAGGGTTCTTACACCATTCAGATGAAGATGCTCGGAAAGCACGATGAGGAATTGAGCTGCATCTCCTTCGGGTTCAACATTGGCTTCCTTGCGCCGGTTGCCTTGAGTTGAAGGCATGCACGGGTTGCATGCGGAACTACACACTTGTGGATTGTAACTCTAGAAACCTCTTTATCCTAGTATATGTTTTCTGTGTAACACTCGTCGGTGCCGCAACACTTTGTGTTCGACTAAGAAGTTTTTATCAAGAGTTGAACATCACAATAAAATGAAAATCTGGTGTAATGAGACATGGAACCGTGTTAGTTTCTGAGAACATCAGCTCTGGGCGCTCAGAGAAAATTCTGTATTAGTTACTAGTAGTACATTTTATGTTGTCTTCTTCAAGAATTATGTCGGTTGTTGCAGTACCAGGCGACTGAACACTCAGATTGTTTCAAGTTTGCATGTGGCCACGGGCAAGAGCGTTGAAAAATTTATGTCCCAGTACAACATGGGTTGGGGTGGTTGTTTGGAGAGAGGGGGCTTATTTTGTTAGAGATGCATTCAGTATGTAATATAATCCTTAAGGGTGTGTCTAGGACTTCTACCTGATGTCCACTATGTTTGTGCTTTTTTTTTTGCTGCATTATTTATTGGAGCTTAGATGTGGGGAAAATATACTTAGATGATACGGTGATATAGACTTTCGGGAACCGTCGGATCTTATATCCAGGGGTTGCTAGGAGCTCACAAACTTTTTACAAAAAAGCCCCTCTAGAGTCTGCAAATTACGAATCGATCTTAGAGCAATGAGGCTATCCACGTTAGCGTTTTTTTTGTTTGGAGAAACTGTGCGTCGTTGCGAACGCATCCCACCCCCTCGTCTCTTATCCATCCCGCCCCACCGCTCTCTCTTCCTCTCCCTCTTCCTCCCCTACCACTCATGGTGTCGTTGCCGGTGACGAGGCCAGGCGGCCGTGGATCCGGGAACAAGAGCAGCGCGCCCCTGCCGTAGCTGCCCCGTGTCGTGCCACACATGGAGTTGCTCCGCCCGCATTGGCTGTGGGTTCGCACACGAACACGTCATTGTGTACCTCCAATGCCGAGGGTGATACACCGCAGCTCACGTCGAAGGAGACCCGTCCGAAAGCGCGGTATGCAAGCAATTCGGCGGGCGTTTTTGAAAACCCGAAACCCCACACGCCCGGGAGGGACCCTGTCAGGGCACGCGGCGGCTATGGGTTTCCCTAGGTCAACCTGATCGCCCCTAGGGCCTCGAGGTTCGCCGCCGTGCAACTAGAAGAACGAACGAAGAATGAGAAAGAAGATATGAGGGAGAAGATAGAAGTAAAGGTAAAAGTAGTAGATTGATTTGTTCAGTTGTGTGTTGTTCAATCGGCCATCACTCCTTACATATATATGAGGCGGCTGGACTTGCCGTACAAGAAAATGACTCAAATCACGTCCAAATCATCAAAAGTTACCCTAACTCGGACTATAAAGTTACCCCAACTCGGACTATGAGGGTCGGAACTTCCGGGATCAAATTATATCAAGTAGCCCTTTTTTACTGAATCTACAGGTCTCATACGACTTCGGATCACGATGGTTTCAAAAGCAAAGTTGTAGATCTTGCAATGAAGGAACTCTTTAGTTGATCACTTTTTCATCTGAGGTCATCTTGAGGTTGAATTCGGGTCCGCAAATTTGCAAATAATATTAAAACTCCAGTTTTCGGGGCGCACCGCGTGCAAACTTTCGGTTTAGCCCGAAACCTCCCCGGAAGTTGCCCGGAACTTACAGGGCAGACTTTTGCAGCACACTGTTTTGGCTCTAACTTTTGCATATGAACTCCAATTTAGACGTTTTTATATCCAAATCGACTGTTTTGACGAGACGAACACAATTCATGTAGAAAGTTTTTCTCATATGAGGCAATCTTGGGGGTGTAATCAGCCAAATAGTGTTCTGAATACAAAATCTCAGTACTTCGAACACAACTTCGACCTTAGAGATGAGACCGGATGGCTATGGCCGAAATATTAAATTTCCTTCTTTTGACGATACGAAACTTTCTCACTTCGAGCACTTTTCCATTTGAGGCCTTCTTAATTATGTTTTCGACCATGCCAAAATCTGGTGTCAACACCGCGTGAGCAGGAGCACCAGGGGCTGCCCCCGGCCGCACATAGATGGGCACCTCGCGTCGCGGCTGCCCCGTCGCGCTGCGTGTGAAGGTGCTCCATCGGCCCGCATCGGCAACGCAAGCAGGAGCGCCAGGGGCCACCCCGACAGTTCGGTCCTCCTGCGAACCATACTGCCGTACGTGGGGTACTACGGCCATACATGGCCAACTCATGACTCGTGGTATTCTGCCATCAGCTACACTGCATGAATACAAGATCTCTAGCGTGACAGCGTGCTAAGTTCTTAATCTCTCCAACGAGAGCGTGGTGCTGTGATCTATCTGCCGTTGGTGCTGTGAGCATCGCCACCGCCTCCGCGTTATCTAACTCCACAATGATAGGCATCGTGGTCCTATGTAGAGCAAGGTCCAGGCCTTCTCTACAAGCTAAGAACTCCGCCTCCGGCGTGCTATCACATGTGCGGATTTCTTTGCATGCGTTGAAGACGATATCCCCTCTGTCATCTCGAAGGATCATACCTCCGCCTGCTGCTCCTGTGGCTGCAATGAAACTGCCATCGATGTTAAGCTTGGTCGCGCCCGTGCTAGGGGGAGTCCAGCATGCCCACACCCTATCCCTCTTGCTGGGTTCCGCACGCTGTGGGGTGGCACAGACAACCATCTTCCCCTTCTCCATGTTGGCCGCCGGGTATTGCTAAATATATAGGAGGGAATTGGTGTACACATGTAAGAACCGATGAGAGGCCTCAACCGGGGGCAGTGGTTTGTTATGGGTAATCTCATTACGAACATGCCACACTCACCGCATGATCATGAGTACCACCAGTCTCGCCGTCTCATCTAGGGGTTCCAACAGTGCAAAAAGCCACTTTGGCCCCGTGTCACGGATAGACTCCACCTTGGGGATGTTCCAATCGAACGCCATGATCCTCCAAAGCTCCCTCGCCAGTGGGCACCTACATAGCATGTGGAATCCGTCCTCATGTTCAACACCACATAGTGGGCATACGTCAGTACACTCGAGGTGTCGTGAGGCTTTGTTAGCCCAGGTAGTAAGGGAATTTGTGAGGACCCTCTCTTGATAACCCACAAGTATAGGGGATCGCAACAGTTTTCGAGGGTAGAGTATTCAACCCAAATTTATTGATTCGACACAAGGGGAGCCAAAGAATATTTGCAAGTATTAGCAGCTGAGTTGTCAATTCAACAACACCTGGAGATTAATTATCTGCAGCAATGTGATCAGTAGCAAAGTAATATGATAGTTTTATAGTAGTAGCAATAGCAATAGTAACAATAACAATGATAGCAATGATTTTGTAGCAAGTGTAATAGTAACAATAGCAGTAGTAACTTAGCAAGAACAATATAAGAGAAATTTGTAGGCATTGGATCGGTGAACTCGTTGGATGATATTCATCATATAACAGTCATAACCTAGGGCGATACGACACTAGCTCCAGTTCATAAATATAATGTAGGCATGTATTCCGTAAATAGTCATACGTGCTTATGGAAAGAACTTGCATGACATCTTTTGTCCTACCCTCCCGTGGCAGGCGGTTCCTATTGAAAACTAAGGGACATTAAGGCCTCCTTTTAATAGAGAACTGAAACAAAGCATTAACACATAGTGAATACATGGACTCCTCAAATTATGGTCATCACCGGAAAGTATCCTGACTTCTGTCACTCCGGGGTTTGCGGATCATAACATGTAATAGGTGACTATAACTTGCAAGATCGGATTTAGAACATAGATATAATGGTGATAACATAAACGGTCCAGATATGAAATCACGGCACCCGGGCCCAAAGTGACAAGCATTAAGCATGGCAAAGTCATAGCAACATCAATCTCAGAACATAATGGATACTATGGATCAAGCCCTAATAAAACTAACTCGATTACATGATGAATCTCATCCAACTCCTCACCGACCAGCGAGCCTACGAAGGAATTACTCACTCCCGGTGGGGAGCATCATGGAATTGGCGATGGAGAAGGGTTGGTGATGATGAACATCGAAAATCCCCCTCTCCGGAGCCCCAAATGGACTCCAGATCTGGCCTCTCGATGAAGAACAGGAGGTGGTGGCGGCTCCGTCTTGTGAAACGCGATAATTCTTTCTCCCTGATTTTTCTCTTTGAAAATGTGATTTTATAGTATGAGGGTTGAGGTCTGCGTGGCCACAGGTGGGGACAACCCACCTGGGCGCGCCAGGAGGGGGCACACCCTGATGGGTTGTGCCCATCCAGGTGCCCCCTCCGGTGGTTCTTGGCTCCAGAAATTCTCTTTTATTGTATAAAAAATCATCTCAAAGTTTCGTTCCAATCCATGAACTTTTATTTCTGCACAAAAACAATACCATGATAGTTCTGGTGAAAATAGCGTCAGTCCCGGTTAGTTTAATTCAAATCATGCAAATTAGAGTTCAAAACAAGAAGAAAAGCGTTAGGGAAAGTAGATACGACGGAGACGTATCAACTCCCCCAAGCTTAAACCTTTGCTTGTCCTCAAGCAATTCAGTTGATAAACTGAAAGTGAAAAAGAAAAACTTTTACGATCTCTGTTGCTCTTGTTTACATAAATAAGCTTAAGTAGCATCCAGGTTTTCAGCAAAGATTATAACTAACCATGTCGACAATAACTCTTAAAAATTATATTAACTCATATCAATGACATAATCAACTAGCAAGCAATAATAAGATATCTCAAATAACAACACTTTGTCAAAACTGTTGGGAATCGTTGCATGGAAAACAAAAAAAATCTACGCACACGCAATGATCTATCCATGGAGATGCATAGCAACGAGGGGAGAGTGTGTCTATGTTCCCTCGTAGACCGTAAGCAGAAGCGTTTCACAACACGATTGATGTAGTTGAACTTCTTCGCGGTTCAACCGATCAAATACCAAACACACGACACCTCTGCGTTCTGCACACATTCAGCTCGGTGATGTCCCTAGACTTCTTGATC